CCCAACTGCCGTAATGGCTGACCGTGGGGCTAGGGCAGCAGGCACAGGGGCGCCGCTGAAGAGACGGCTGCTTCGGTCAAAATGACCACAGAGGACATCAGACATGTTAACCCGGCCCCAGGATTCTCAGTCCTCTGGCACCAGGCTCAGATGAAGCAGGAAACCAAGTGCTGTTAGCATCCCCATTCATTCAATCATTCACTCATTCATTGAACTAGAAGCATTAATGAAGCACCCCTCAGGTGCTTCTGCTGGGTGGGTGGGGAATACCAAAATGAAAGAGGCAGGAGCCTTGATCACATTATAACACGTGATGGATGTCATAAGGGCCCTGGGATAAAAACCCCATGTTTGCTAAGGCATAAAGAAGCAGCAACAGATTACAGGGAAGGGGGCTGAGCAGGGGCTCCGGGACAGAGGTGACACCTAGCTGGGCCTCGAAGAGTAATAAAGATTCCCGGAGGCAAAGAGAAGAAGGTAAGGGCATCCCCTGGCTAAGGTGACAACATCTGGGTCCAGACTGGGGCAGCAGGACTGGGTCAAGGCATGGAGCGTTCTGCTGCTTGAGCTGCATCCTCTGGGCAAAAGGGAGCCCCTGAGGGCTGTAAGGGAGGGAGAGGGCATGATCATCGCCGTGTCAGAGAAAGTGCCCGTGGTGCAAGGAGATGTGCACGTTGCAGAGACAGGATCCCGGAGGCGGTGAGACTCCTCCGAAGGCGGGGACACAAATCCAGTACAGACAACAAAGGTATGAGTTAGTGGCAGTGATGGAATGGATGCAAGAGATAAGGGACAGACAAAATTCACTCAACGCAGCACAGGGTGACTTTGTGAGTCCAGGCCAGAATAACTGTGACTGCGGCCCTCGCTGGGGCTGGAAGAGAGGCAGGACAATGAGAGGCGAGGGCAAGGATGCCTGGAGACAGCTGGATGGAGGTGCCTGAGGCACATCCAAGGAGCCCCATCTAGAAGGTGACAAGTGCAGAGCTCAGAGGCAGGCCTCTTCCAGGCCTGCACCTTCTCTGTGCTCAAGTCCCATCCTGATCTCTGCGGTGCAGGGTGTTGCACTGGGGCTCCACCCCTCCAGGGAAAGCCTGAAGTTCAGGTTAGCAGAAATGACAGTCAGGCTCTTTGCCCTGCACTGTGGGTTCTGGTCCTTAGACATCTGGAGTCCAGAGATCTGGCCTGGACCCCTGAGATCCATGCTTTCAAACAGCTCAAGTGCATGTGACAATCCGGATTCAAATACAGGTTCACAGGTCCCACCAGCACGCTCTCTGCTTAGATATGCTGGGTGGGGACCAGGAAGCTCAATGTCTGAAATGCATGCAGGTGACACCAGGGTCCACAACCTGTCGGCCGTGCTTGGAGAACCCCTGTGGCCTCCTGCAGCTGCAGTCTCTTCTCTCTGGCTCTCTTACAAAAGTAGCGATCGGGAAGGGGTCTCTACAGAGATGAGAGGCTGCTGGCACCTAATACAGATGGAAAAAAAGTAACTTAACCCCATCTGAGTGTTTACTATGGGCCAGGCACTGTTCTCATGTCTCCAAGTCAATCTGTGTAACAACTTTCCCCATTTTGCAGATGAGGCCACTGAGGCCTTAAGTCACACACCTGGCAGGTGGGGAAGCCAGCCCCGCAGATGTGTTTTCCACACCGGCCACGAACACCAACACACAGGATAAGCATCAGCAAGTAATGCCCTTCTCTCTGGCCCCAGACTTTCCCTCTATAAAACGGAGGTAACCATTCCCATCTGCTTCTCTCTGGTTAAGATGCTGGAGTCTTAACTCTGATGATCGTAACCCTCTCGGGACACCAGTAGCATTTTCCCCAGGAAGCAACTCTGCCACCTCCGTGACCCCTCGGCTGGTCTCGATGCCGCGTGCAGGGCCTGTCTGGAGGCTCCGCCCACCCACCACTGGATGGAAAGGGCAAAGGGCGTTCCGTCTGCCCTGCACTGGGGGCCCCTTACAAAGCTCCCGTTGTGCCATTCTCAATGGGAGGCTCTGTTGGATGGCAATAATATTATTTTCTGCTGCTGACGTGTCACCTCCCTTTTTAAACTTGGACTACTCGGCTACATTTTCCACCTTGGGCCGTGCCATTTCAGACAGACCTGGGAAGGGCACTGCAAAGGGCACGTGCAGGTGACAGGCTTGTAGAAACTCAGAGAGATGGCAGGAAGGGGTGTGGGCAGTGGTGCACCGGTTACTTCAAGGGCTTGCTTCTGCAAGTTTCACTTGAATCTCCTCCAGGGCCCTAAGCACTTTTTTTTTTTTTTTTTTGGGCCTCGAAACTCCTTGGGGAAGCTACAATTTCCTTGAAGGAGCAGGCCGTAGGTACCAACCAAGTCACATTAAGCTGGCTCTCCCTCTTTGCAAAACTCTGCGTCTGTAAAGCGTGCTTTTCTGAAGCAATGCCGAAATGTGTTGACCAGCAAGCAGAAGAAATCCCGATTTCCTCATCTGTATCATTCCCACTTGCTTCCCGAGGGAAGGGCAGGCCAGTGGGAATTCTATAGAGGTCAGTAACCACGGGTGGTTATTTGCAAGGGCAGTTAATATTCTTCTCAGGGCTTTAAAAGCAGTGGAGTTTGGGGTGTGACAATTCTGACCACATCCCTGCCACCTCTGATTACTCTTCTTCCTTGGGGTTTGCTCATTAAATCCCTCTGCTTTTTAGCCTCTTAGCCTTACTACTGCATCACAAACCCTACACTGAAATACGATCACATTCTGCCCAGATGTGTAGGGCAGGCAGTCTGACTTCTCCTTCACCCTTATCTGCCATAAGGCCATCTGCTGACTGTTCCCGGCCCCCAGACCAGGTGCAGGCCTTGTGGATCTGTCCCTTGTCCCTGCTCAGGAGCCCACTCGGAAGGAAGGGAAGGAAGCCCACTGCTGCTGACGAAGAAGGTCAAAGAGAAAGTCAGGGCATCGGCAGGAAGGCATATGCCCTCGTGGTGAAGGCAGTTGGGGGGTGGGGGGGTGTGGCGTGAAAGCAGAGAAGGGACAAGACACAGAATGGGGGGGCCAAAGAAGGGGTCAAGTGCAAGGAGTGAAAGGCACATTCAGGGAGGTAGGAGACAAGAAAACAGAATGGTGGGGTCTTTCAAGTAAGTCTGAGAGAAGACAGGGCTTTATGCATCTGCTGAGCGAAGTGCACTTGATCACAGGCAAACGGTCTCTGAGCTCGGTGAGTCACCAAATGTGGGCGCTGAAAGGGACATGCAGGGTCAGCTCGTGCAGATCCCTCATCGTGCAGATGAGCAGGCCCGCGAAGTAAGGGGACCTGCCCACAGTCGCACAGCGAGTCAGTGCCGGAGGGAGACCACAACGGCAGACTCCTGGTTGGCGGCATTTTCACCACAGGGGGCTCCCGCCCAGCAATCCCTCCACTGAGAGACAGCACTGACCACTCACTCGGGAAAGATTATTTGTGGCTTATTAATACCCGGTGAGCAACACGGGGGCCCACAAGGACCTCATATGAACTCAAACAGAGGCAGATTATAGCCTTGACTTGGCCTTGCAGGCTGTCACCCAAGCAGTCGGTGCTTCTCGAAGCTCCCATGTGGCTCTGCAGCTGGCCCTGGAGAAGGGGCAGCCAGGCCCACTGGTGCCAACTGAGTCCTAGCAGACACGACTGACAAAATGGCAGCCTCTTCCAGTAGGTCAGGGCACTGAGCTGTGGGTGGAGGATCCCCGCCCTCCACGCCCTTGAGAATGGCTCCCACTAGGTTAGAAGGTGAGGTGCGCAGCAAGAGCGAAGTAATAAGGCTTCAACCTGCAGGCTCTATGATTAGAAAGCTGAACCAGAAGACAGTGGTCGCTGATCCGTCAGACACTCTGAAGACCAGGACCGAGAGAGAAGACCAAGAAAGTGCAATTTAAAACGTAGGGGCGCTCAGACTAGGAGGGGACAGCAGGGCAATGTTCGCCCAAGTGGCAGAACAGAAGAAAGGAAGCTGAGAGACGGACTGTGAAGTTACAAGGAAAAAAGACCGTCATTCTGAAAAATAAGCAGTAACATAGGTTTTTCTAAAGCATAAAATAGCTAAGTTCTTTCTACTTTGACCCTCTTCTGAACTGAACTGTAAGTTTTGAAGATGGATTATATAGTTCCTTTCGCTCTTGGATAAACGGTTTTTGGTTTGTTTGTTTTTTTTTACATATGTGTCTGATGGGCCATGGTGGAGCTTACCCCCCTCTTCAAAACCAAAATAGCATCTGTCACAGGGGCATCATTAGGCACATTGGAAGCCGACCTTATACAAGCTAACTTTGAACACGCATGCTATGACTCCAGGAAATATACTTCAGATTCTGCCGAACAAAAAGCACAAATTCCTTGGAGCAATGCGCGAAGGACATCTGCTGTTGGGTGGCAGCAATTTTCCTACATAAATGACAATTAACAGTATCTGTGGGTCGCTCTCGAAGGAGGGCTGCCCAATTCCATTTACGTCAAGCCCAGGCCAGGAAATATTCCCCCCACTTGATTTTCTTAGCAGTGGAACGAATACAGGTTCCTGCTTCCACACTTCATTTGCAGCACCCCGCCGTCACTCCGAGAAGATGCAGCCTCAGGAACTGTTTAAAAGCCAAAATCAAATACTTATGAGCAAAGGCTCAAAACGGACAGCTCTGACGATGACCCCAAATGCAATGTGTTTAAAGCAAAACCACCATCAAATCACATTTTCAGAGCAAGGAAGACAAAAGTTCAAGCCGAGAAAGCAAGAGGCCGTTCCTTTTATCCTACCCCAGTTCTCTAGCACCGTATTCTCAAGTTCAAATGGACACGTCAGAGTTGGACGGAAAACGAGGACAAGGAAACAAGACAAATGGCTGGCCCGCCCCCTCCCCCTTATGTGGCAAAGCAATCCACTGCTCAGTCCAGCAACTATTAGAAGGAAAGAATCGAAACAACACAGACGCGTTTTCAAATGATAATGGTTCCCAAGCTCTGAGATGATTATTTTTAAGCTATCTTACTGATCATGGTGGTTCCCCCAGCCAGGGCGGCCTTGGTGCCTTGAAAGAAGTCATCAGCAGAGGTCATTCCTTGGTCAGGCATCTGGAAGCGGGTATGGACATCAATCCCTCCGGGGATCACCATCCTAGAATGGGCTTCGATGGTCTTCACCCCTCCTGGCACAATCAGGTTTTCCCCTATTTGCCTAAGTAAACAGGACAGGTGATAACAGTTATAAATGAACCACTCCTGAGTCAAATGGGCTCTGACAGACATTTCACAAAGCCATAAACTATCCTTCCCTAGGTTCTGTAGACTTTTTGGATTATTATTAATATTCCTAATATGTGCACTCCCCAGTCCCTACCCCAACTAAGAGGCAAACAGAGCATACTACAAAAGAAAATTTAAATAAAGCACCAGGACATGCTGATGGAAGAGGTTTAGTTGCCAGAAAACCCTTAAGATCAAATGATTACAAGGCCCCCAAGACATTTACCTAACATGCCACAACACTTTCTCCGTAACTAATTCAATTGTATAGCAATTTTCTCCAGACCTGGTTGTACTTTACATTTATTTTCCACACTGAGAAAACAGTAGTGGAAAGACAGTGGTAGAACAAAGCCAAGAAAAAGAAAGAGAGAAAGAAAAGGAAAAAGGAAAAGAAAAAGGAAAAGGAAAAAGAAAAAGAAAGGGAAAAGAAAAAGAAAGAAAGAAGAAAAAGGAAAAAGAAAAAGAAAAAGGAAAAAGGAAAAGAAAAAGAAAAAAGAGAAGTGAACGTTATGATTACAACTATTTAAAAATAGAATAAAATCTGGAAATATGTGCTCAGCAACTCAGATACTAAGGACGGAAAAATTAATATTCCGTTGAGGGTCATGGATTCATTTCCAATTTTCAAAAAACACTTTTGCTACATCTTTCTAGCAGCTTTTTTCAGAAGGAAAAAGTAATCAAGGAGTTGATAAAAGTTCTAAAACAAATTAGTGTGGACTAAAAATAGCATACAGGCATGCTCACTTCTAGGCCAGTATCAGGCTGGCTTCTAATTGGGGGGGGCGGGCGCCCCGACGGAACATGAAAGTCATGGTATTTGAGAGCCTCGAGCAGAGAATGTCACAAACACACATGGAGAAAACATTAAATGTGGAAATGTTAAAACCTAGTTTAGGTTCATAAATCAGGGCGTGAGTTTCCAGGCAACAGACCCATCCACTCCAGTTTTCCACTCCTCCAGACTGGTTTGCTGCTACCCTTGATGAATGCTGCTTATTTAAAAGATGTCATTTGCTACAGTGTTTGTCTTTAAACAGATGTGCTATTTCTCCCAGGGCCCTGTGAGTGCTCCCAGTCAGGAGGGCAGGAAGATACTGGTGTGTACTCAGCTCACTTAACTCTGTTGTTTCTCTTTTGTAACACAATACACAATAAACACAAGGGCACTCTTATTTGCCTTTGTTGCCACTTAAAGAATGAAACCTAAAATTCCCTGCGGATGAGGCAGTACTTTGTCTGTTACTTGGTAATTCATTTGGTGTCCTTTGGCCTCAGCAACTTGGATGCTTAATTAAGACAGCAGATGTGTTATCTAGATAGAAGAGGCTGGATGCCAAGTTTATGCCTTAGATTGGGCAATCTACCCAAACAACTATATTCTAGGAAAACCTTTAATATACTCAATAGATCATAAACCAAGAATTTAAACTGGCAACAAGAAGATATTGTGTCACCTCAGTTAAAATAGTCAATTACATAACACATAAGGAAATGGGTGTGCATTTAATTGTGCCTTTGAATTCCCCAAATCTGAGTTTTCAAATTCACTAGTTGCCACCAATCAAAATAAGCTTAAACATATCCTAAGTGAGGCAGTGTGTGAAGTCACTCAAGTTTGATGTCATGTGTGTGAACTGTAGGTCATGTCTGGGAATACTGGAAGGTAGACAAATTCGTCTCTATAATGCGTGACACTTACTTGATCAACCCATCTTCCATGTATATGTCTGCATAGAATGACTGGTCATCATTAACAATTTTACCTCCTTTGATCAGAAGACGATCACTCTGAAACAAAGAAGTAATAAGGTCAGGCAGGACCTATGAGGAACATCAGTGCCAAGACAATGAGCTAAGGACACATTTTTCGGCATTCAAAAGAGATGCTCAAAATGAGCCAACTCTGAAAAGGTTCAGTGACAAAGGTGAACCTGATGTGACAACCTATTCATCACTTGATGAGTCAGAACATACTGGCAAAAGTTCAAAGCTTATTCTAGGTTTAAAGACAAAACAAAACAAAACAAAAACTATCTCTCTCCACTGAAATAGAGAGAAAATGAAAGAATGCCTACCAAACTCTCTCTAAAGAACAGTGTAAATGTTTCAGATAAAGAAGACAATATTTTTTAAATGGCTTTAGGCTAAATTTCATTAAAAATAAATACACCCACATGTAAGGAAGTCAATTCTTGGCATGGTTTGTGTAGGGAAAAATTAACCAAGTCTGTTGTCATGGGATACTCTACACAAACACACTTCGCTCAACCACTGCAAAGTTTCATTACAATACGTTCTTTATAGTTGCTTTTTATCTTTGGGGTGAATCACATCGATTGTAACAAAGGGGGAGTGAACACTTCAAATATACACCACTTTAACTACTAGGCTGTTAAGAAAAATGTAAAATTTTGTGACAAGATGAGATGGCAAGTTCCAAAATCTACATTGTTGATGCGCTTGTATTTTAAAGGTTGCAAAAAATTATATATGACAAGCAGCATGTGAGGGCCAGGAATGCAAGAGAACTGGTACACTGTGACTCCTCTCTATCCCAAATGCTGTGGATGGAATGGGATATCAATGTCCTGTGTTCAGTGGACAGGCACCTGCTATATCCCCAGGTGGGGAACAAGTTGAACCACAGGCCACCGTTTTAATATGCAAAATACGTCAGAGGATGACATTCATTTTGACAACGGTTACCTTAAAATTCAGTTACAAACCAATATTCTTAGTAAGTGCTATTTATATTTAGCACCCACCAAACCCAGAAAATTATAGCAAATCTTTAAAAAATATATGGGGGGGGGAGAATAAATAAAAATGAGAATAAACATATAAGCTGCTAGACACCTAGGGAAAAAAGATACTGTTACACATAAATGCACACACAGCCGGGTATAGAAAGTATTTATTTTTTTCTCTAACATAATGAAAAACAGTGAGATCATTTTAATTTTATACACTGTAGGGTGCATCATCCTACTACAGACTTTGGGAAGTCAATGGGAATAATCAGTCAACAATTCCTGCACTTGTGTTAACACCTTTACAAAATTCCTGTCAGGTACCTTAAGTCACGAGAGCCTCAAAACAAATTTAAGAGGTGGGTGGGGCCAGATTCTTATTCCCATGACACATAAAGAAACTGAGGCTGAGAGGTTAAGCCACTTGCCCCAGGTCACCTGATCCAGTGGACTTTTCTCTGCCCACGATGATCTCCCCCCTTTTCCCCCATTACCCAGCTGTGACAGGATAAACGTGGCCTGGAAGGCAGGGGAGAAGCCCTTAGTCACTGCGGTACCTGTCCCGGCCATCACTGCGAATCCCCGAGCCAGCATCATGCTAAGAAAAAAATGAGACATCACCGCCCCGTCCACTCGAGTCCCTTCCAGAAGGCTTCTTACATAAGATGCTGGCCGTGATGATGGAAGGAGGGAAACCATACTATAGGTCCTAAGATAATGTAACCAGATTTTTTTTAAGGGTAGAGGGGGCGCTCTTTGGGGTAAAAAAAAAAAAAAAGGTCTTGATTGTTTGCTTTCTAAATTTTTCTCCCCACACTGTCAAAACCAAACTGTCTTTTTCATTCACGAAGACAACAAATTATTTGAGGCTCGTGGCAAACCTGCTCCCCACCCCCTCTCCCCAGACTCCTTCCTCCAGAGCTGGGAACATGTAACCTTGGGTCCTCTCCACCCACTCCCTCCTCCCCGAGCCCGGCCCTTTGGGATCTTGGGTCTTTGGCCTTCAAGAAAAATCTAGTACCCACCCTCTCTTTAGCACAGCCTGGTTCATCCTATAAAATCCTCCTGAGCACACGCCCCCTCCCCTGTGCATTTGTTTCCACGTCTCTCTCCTGCGGATGGGTGTGCCCTCGTGCATCCAGAGGAAGCCGGGGTGTCCGTAGCTAAGAAGGAAACCAGAGCGAAAGCGCGCCCTCAAATCCAGCCCTAAACACATCTTGAGTTTACAAGGATTCTTTCGGTCTCTGCCTCAGCCCTGGGTTCTACCCAGCAATCAGCTGGCCAATTGCAATTGCACATCATTATGTAACAATGAATTTCCCTCGCCTTCCCTCTCTCCCCGGGATTTCATTCGGGGATGTAGAGAACTAGGACTGGTGAGATTTTTCCAGGAAAAGATGGGGAGAGGGTGGGGAGGGCAGGAGAGCGGTGAAAGCAAGAACCTGTGTTCATTGCCGAAGCATCGCAAATTCATCGCTTAGATGTTTTTTCTCGGGATTTACAAACTAACAACTCCAGGCCCCAAACTGCGCCAACACCTCCGGCCGCAGCGATCATTGTCTGGCCGAGGCCAGGCCGGGCCATCTGCTCCGCGCGTCGCGCAGCGCCATTACCTCCGCGAGCCCCGCTCCGCGCTGTCCCCAACGCCCACCCTCCCAGCCCGCTTTGTATGCGCCAACACAGGCGCCTCCTTGGCTGCAGGAGGGGCAGAAAGTCACAAGAAAGCGAACCCTGAGCCCTGCCAGGGTTCCAGCCCCACACCGGAGGGCGAGGAAGCCGAGAGGGCCACCCAAAACCAGTCCGTGATCGACAAAAAGCCCACGCCTGGCCCCCCACCCTCTTCTGTTCATCACCGCGTCCCTATTTTTCCTTCCAGTTTCCACATCATCCCGGCACTCCCGGCCCTTTCCAGCATCCCTCTGCTGTCATTACGCCTCCGGGCTGAAACCCGCTCCTTTTTCTAAGGAGCCGGAGGAAGGCTCCAGAAAGCCTTTATGGTGGGGGCGGGAGACACAGGGAGAATCCATTTCTCCATCTCCCCCAGCCAGCTCCTGGAGTCCAGCCTCGCAGCACGCAGCCCGGAGAACAATATCCGAGCTTCAACCATGCATATTCAATCTGGCATCCATTTGCTTACACCCCGCAGGCCAGCACTGCAGCATCTCGAACTGACAATAAAAGGATACAGCGGATCTGGCGCGCTACCTAAGACGTCCTTAATGCACTTACGCTCCTATTTTTATGCCTTACAAATTATGTGGCTTACAATTCTAGACGGCTGCGTCTCCCACTACAATCGCCTTCTTCAGCAACAGGAAAAAAAAAAAAAAAGGAAAAAAGAAAAGTTGGGTCCCTCTTTCTCCCGCTCCTTTAAAAAAAAAAAATTCCTTGGATGTTCCTTGCCACAAAAGGTTTCTGGCCGACCGCAGATTTCCCAAGTACCAAACTCACCGTGATGCGTGGAATATTTTTCTTCCCCTGATAAGACATCTCTCTCCTGGGAAAAAAATAATTTCAAGAGGACACCTTTAAAGCAAAAATTGCCAGGAAAGAGATGGTATTTTTTGCAGGATTGAAAAAGATGCAACCGCTTAGCTGGTCTTGCTGATAGCAGATTTCAAGAACGTAAGGGATAAATGCAATCCTGTCTCTTTCTTCCTCTGCTCCAACACAGCCCCAGCTAGGGCGGAAAAAAAAGAAAGAGAGAGAGAGAACAGGAGGGAAGGGGTGGAAATAAACTACAGCAATAAAAGCCTCGGTTCAAGTCGGCCACCGCGGCGCATGCGCCGCCAGCCACTCCCTTTCCTCTCAGGCAAAAGCCATCCGCTTCGAGAGAGACGAGCCCTGATTGGCCACAATCGTGGGATATGCAAATGAGCGCGGGCGGGGAGGGGAGCGGCGCGAGAGCGCGAAATGCTGCAGTGTGCCGCCGAGGGCGGCGGTCGGTGCGTGCGCCCGAGCGGGGAGCGCGCCTTTCGCGCCCTTTCTTTGGGCCAGGGCGTCGGGGACTGTAGCTGGCTGCCGCCCCGAATGCAGCATCAGCAACTCAAGGACAATGGAGGGGTGGTCTTTACGGGCCGGGGGAGCCCGGCCCCGAGACGGTGGGCTTCGCTGCAGCCCGGGCGGCACGCACCCGCTCGCGCGCGCCCCGCTGGATGCCCGCCCGCGCGCCAATCCGCGGAGGCCGCCGCTGCAGCCCCGCGTGGGGTGACTGCGCCGAGCCAATGGCTTTGCTGGCGGCGAGCGCGCGACTGCACCGCCGGCCGGCGCCGCGCCGCCCGGGAGGGGCTCCCGAGCCCTCCTCCCGCCGCCTTCGCGAAGGGCGAGGGCGGCGATGCAGCATCAGCAACT